TCGATCAGGGGTTGCAAAGTTCTACAGAGAAATGTCATATCTTCGTCAAAATGTCTCTAAAATAGCTTCCCACTCGTACTTATCGTCTTCAGATTCGCCAAATTTTCCGTAAATGCCATTTTCGAAGTTCACTGACAACTCCTGTCGTCTATGTCACTTCCTGTCTTTATTTCTCGCGATGTATCGCGATAGTTGATTGTAATATAAATAGATCTCGCGTTATTTTGTGAAATATAATGAAAATGTTGTTGCTCAGCAACGTTTACTCGGTACGATAAGAACTGATAACCTAAGCAAACGTGGCACGTATTACTTCAAAAGAAAACGCCGCGTTGCGAGTCTGTTGTATTACTAGTCTGAGTTTAAACAAACCCTGATTAAAAATATGGATTTATATCTGTAAAAACACACGTTCGAGTGAGTGTTTCGGACATATATCACGTAAAAACGATAAAATTGAAAGATTTGCAATCACTGAATCAGTTGCATTTTCGCGTGCACAGCGGCGGATAATTTTCTGAGATGCGAAAGATGTATTGTGCGCGTATGTGTTTATGAATAGTTCCACGCAACCACGGGATAATAGAAACGACTAATGGAATCGTTAATAGATCAATCACTGAGACTTAACCTTCTGTGGTTGTTGTTGACCAATGAGTCACGTGTCTAACTGTAGTACAATTGTATTATACATGTAAAATTAAGGACGAGTTATGAAGTCATATTACCTTTTGTTCTGTAGCGAACTGATTCAGAGGCTTTACTAAGACCGAATTTATTAAGAGCTCGAATCTTGAAATTGTAGGTTGTGTCTGGTTTGAGATGTGTAATAATATACGTAGTTGTATCGGACGGGATGTTGATGTTTATCCACTGTGAGTATTGAGCATCGACGTCCTCTGTATAATGAACTACGTAACCTACAATGTAATAACAATTGTGTAAATTGATATAGATGTATGCGTGATAATAAAATACGTAACCTACAATGTAATAACAATTGTGCAAATTGGTATAGATGTATGCGTGATAATAAACTACGTAACCTACAATGTAATAACAATTGTGCAAATTGATATAGATGTATGCGTGATAATAAAATACGTAACCTACAATGTAATAACAATTGTGCAAATTGGTATAGATGTATGCGTGATAATGAACTACGTAACCTACAATGTAATAACAATTGTGCAAATTAGTATAGATGTATGCGTGATAATAAACTACGTAACCTACAATGTAATAACAATTGTGCGAAGTGGCATGGATGTATGCGTTGTAATGACATACGTAATTGCCTATTTACCTGTAATGTCTGGATCGAACTGAGAGGGTGCCCTCCATACTAGACTAACACTGCGTGTTTCATCGCCGTTGATAGACACGTCCTCAATAGACAGTATATTTGGTGCCAAAGGTGGGCCATCGATTACATCTACAGTACAACACAATAAGAATAAGTTATATCTTTATTATTGGCAATAATCACGTCGTACATTTATTTATTATATTCATTTGGTATGTTTCATGTATTTATTTCTTATAATGAAACTGTATCACCCACCTTGAACGCAGGTGATCTGTTCTCCAGACCATTGTCCATCAGATCCACATGTACGGACCATCTTAGATGCGTCCGCCTCCGAGTGAATATAACCTTCGTCACAAGAATATCGACAGGTACTTCCGACTACACCGCCATCACATACAGCCACTCCATTTGGCGGATCGGCAAACGGCGGACACGTCAACTCCTTTATGGGTGCTATGAGAACCAACCACGTTTATGGTTACGTGGAATTGCAGTTACCGGTAGTTAATTACAACCAATCAGATATAGCGCATAACGTGACCGAACATATGATATTATACATGACCAGCTCTCGTGCGATGTATAAATTACTAAGTACTTATACATTTACATTCCTTATAGATAATTACTTAAAGATCATGCAAATTTCGATAACAAAAATAAGACAAATTGGTGTGTAATATACCTGGTAAAATTGGTTGCCCGTCGGTACAGATACGGGCGCAGCCATTATAACAGCACAACTGGCGCCCAGGACAATCGTTATGGTAACTGCACGACTCCACGCAGAAGCGAGAGTTGGACATATCTGGACACATCCCGTACTTGATTGGTACTTCCGTGGGTACCGGTGCTGTGGTAATTGGTCAAATGGGGAAAAAGAAAAACGTCAAAAGGATGCCTTTTACGCCCGCCGTGTTTCGAAACAGAAACATTTAATATATCTACTACGTGATATGTAAATTAAATTATCATATAATTTAAGTCGCTGGTGGATCAAATAACATTTGTATAGAGGATATTACTGGATGTTAATGATTATTTCCACGCATTATCTATAAATATTTACTTATTATTCATACATTGTGAATCTAAATTCATTTAATAAATCGCATTGATTAACTATCAAAAATGTTCCATAGTTCAATAGCAGTTATATTTGTTTTTGCATAGGTCCACGCAACCAATAGTATATGTAATATTAACACTTTCTAAAAACAATCTTAATGGAATGGGAACACAACGTACAATTTACTTCTGAATCAAGGGGTGTTCAAATGGGGGATTTGAGAGTTAACCTGAGTACACTAAAAATTAGAAAGAACATATTATAAAAAAAAAAAACAATATATAGTGTGTATCCCCTGAAAAATGTGGACTTTCCTTCTCGCCAATGACATTCGCCATCTATTCACAGAGGGAAATGCTCCGCTTATCAATGACCTTCGCCAATGATAAAGTTTCAACATATTTTAATTATACGTGGTTCCACTTTCTGTGGGTACACGTGAGCATTTTTAAACTATTGTAGTTGTCACCGCTATAATCGCCTTAAGATATATCAGTCAATTGTTTACTTATCAACAGTACCTGGTGACGTGCTCACGCGTACCATTGACATCGGCCCAACACCGAAGTCGTTTCGTGCTTGAACTTTGATAAAATATACCGTATCAGAAAAAAGAGCAGTCAGTTCGAGAGACGTCACCGAACTAGACGCTTCCAGCATACTCCATTCTTCCACCGGAGCGTCCATCTCATTCGTCCAGTATACTTCATAGCCTTGGGAAATAAATGATTGAACTGATATCAGCAATGAATGGCGTATTCAAATTACGTGTATTAATTTATACAGTACAGTATACTAATAAATATAAAATCCTGAGTTTGAATATTTATGTGTTGAAGGTTATAAAAGTATGGCTTGGATTATGTACAGAAGAATGATAGGAAATTCCCTAGTTTGCACGAAAAGAGACTACACCCTCCCTCCCTGCCTCCGTCGCTGCCTAGCTACTCCTACAAAAGACACAGTTCGCATTTGGAATCGTCAGTAATGATGACGACATTTGAAGAAAAATATCAATTAATATACACGTAAAGATTAACAGAGTGTTACTTTACTTAAATATGCACATATGATTATATACCAAGTATATGCATAGAACAACATTATTCACCTGTTATTGGTAGTCCTTCTTCGGGTGATTTCCATTCTATTTTGATAGATTCTGACGTGATGAGCCGAACAACGACGTCAGTGGGCGGTGATGGTACGATATCTCCGTCTGAAGGCAAAATATAGTTATTACATTTCTCTTTTCTGAGTCCAAGTGCATTTTGAGAACCTTGTACATAATTTGCATATTCACATTTATTTTGCACACATTCACTGTTTGATTCACACTCAATGACTCACTCACTCACGCACGCACGCACTCACTCACTCACTCAGTCACTCACTCACTCACTCACTCACTCACTCACCCTCTCACTCACTCACTCGCTCACTCACTCACTCACTGACTCACTCACTCACTTACTCATTCATTCATTCATTCATTCATTCATTCATTCATTCATTCATTCGGATTGAAATATAAAAATTATCGTATACTTCTGACACTGCTCAAATTAACTATAATCGTAAACTTACCGCCGTTCATTGGTGTCGTGTAAGAGAATGGTTCCGACTTTGGACTACCGCCTCTCATATTGTATGTCTGGGTAATAAATTTATATGAATGATTTGGCAACAACCCAGTTACCGGAATAATAACTTCAACATTGATGTCTACGTCCACTCTAACAATTGGCCAAGATAGATAACTGGAATCAGGCGACGTGTCGTCGGAATAGAATACCATTAACCCTGTGAACAATTAGTAAAATACGATCTCAACAAATATTATAATAACTTTACCATTCAACAATTAACATCTGTGGGTAATGTATGGTAAGAAAAATACTATAAAGAGAAAAACACAATAATAATACTATTAAGCAAAAATTACAATAATAATACTATTAAGGAAAAATTACAAAACAATAGTATAATGGTGAACAATCAAATGTTTTTAAACGTTACTTTTTGTATATTGTTTGTTTAAGATATTTAACTAAAGAAAACTGTTGTTATACATGTTTATAAAATTGTTTATTCTATCCTGTTTATTTATTATGTTACAATCTATATACAACAATTTTCCTTCTTTCTTATAGGTTCACAGCCTAAAATAACGTGGATTTCATTTTCCGCTTTTTTAATTACATTTTGTACATATTCTAACTTTTCCTTCCACTTTTGGCTTCATTCTTCGTCCAAATTCAATTTCTAGATTATGGTCACCTATTCTGAATTTTTTAATTCGTAATTTATTTCCTCACTTTTGCTTATTACTACAATTAACTACTTGATTTGATTTGTTCAGGTCTGTTTATATTCATTTGGTAGTTTACTTTCAATAATTTATGAGAACTGATTGATGTTTTTTTTTTATCTCGTATTCATCTTTAGTTTTATTAAATTGGTTCTCCCCCAATATATGTTCAATCTTCTTTTTCCAGTTTGTATTGTTTGTAATGTTTTTTTTAATGCACAATGTAGTAAATGAATCACTGTCAGTCTGTTTGGTCTATACCAGTATTTGATTTGAGCTTTGTCTGTTTTGAATCTAATTGGGAGTCTACCAATTTCAACTTGAATGCCCCTGATTGGGGCTACCTTACTTACACCTAAAATAAAACGATAAAAGTAATTACAAATTTGCTCTAAGCTGTTATTGTCCTTTGTTATTTTGATATTGGAGATATATATTGGAGATATTAAATGATCAAACATTTTTAAACTCAGTGTTACTGAAATATTTTTTTGACTTAGGATTGTTTGTCGCATAGTTAATAATGATCATTACCTTGTTTTTGACCATTACATGGTTTAGTTTCAAATTTGCCATTTGGATTTAACTACTGTTCCCAGATAGCAAAATTATCTAACTGCTGTAACTTCTTGATTGTTAAATTTTAGGTTTACATTTTTATCAACGTGTTACTTGTGTTAAAAACCATCGCCTTTGTCTTTTTTATATTTACAATCATGCACCATTTTTCACAATATTGATTTAATTTATTCATGCATTTTTGAAGACCTTCCATACTCTTCGCAGTCAAACGCTTTATAAAGTCTATAAAGCAACTGTATAAACGTTTTATTTTTTACTATTAATTTATTATTAACTGTTCATATCATTTTAGTACAAAAAATGCATCATTTGTGCGTCTGTCTTTTCTAAATCCAAATTGAAGATCTGTCATAGTGTTATTATACCATTAAATATTGAAAACTGTTATTACATGCCATTAAAATAGAAACATGAAATACGGTTTCAGTGGCAAAATCCTTGGCTCTTTTAATTTGAAACAAAAAGGTCAAAAGAGACATTGGTGGGGTGCAGTGATGTTTTCCGTACACAATTTACTTGAGACGAGAACATACATAAATTCCCCCCTCCAAAAAAACCTCCAGGTCATAATTCAACAAAACGCATTACTTACATGAGCTACTTAAAAAAACATTATCAATTATAGTGAAAATATTACTACACTTACTGGCTTGAATTGTCTACAAGGAAGCGAATTCAATTAATTTTATCCAACGTACTTTCTATTGTTAAAGTTTGGTGTGTGTTTTCATCACACTATCAATACTTTGTCTTATTTCATTACCTGTAGGTTCATATCCTCTTGCACTCGTTACTCTGACAACAACGTCCACGTTCACGATATTGTTAACTGAATCTTTGTCACGGACGTCAACGACTACGGGGGAAACTATTGGCGCATACCCGTCTACAAATAAAAGCAAAAATAAACACACATTGTGATTTTGTAAAAGTATCCGACTCAATTTAATTGTTTAAAAATCTAATATTCATTTTTCTTCACGATCTGGGACAAAGTCATGTGGGTTGTCACCCACCACCGACCCGACTATAGCTTGTCGTCGTCGCTAAGGGCGTAGCTCATGCGAATTTCTCAAGTTTGCTCACCGCCTTCCATCATCGTTGTTGCGTACACGGGGTCGCACTGTAATCCAACTCCTTCATCGTTATGAGCTGCAATTTTAAACTCATAACGCGCGAACGACTGGAGCCCTTTTATGGTGACTTCTTGTTGATCGACCTCTACGTTTGTTATTCTGAAATAAAACCAGAAGTTATTCAAGTTTAATGGTACGCGTACCATGATGGCTCTACCAAAGGTCAAGATTCAGGTACGGTGTTTGGATATATGAAGAAAATACATCAATAAAACATATTGTTTAATGTAATAAGCATATGGTTTCTTCCAGTAAACACGATTCACTTCACATGAGTGAGTAGGCCGTAATTTCAGAATATAGCCCATCTGGCAATATGTGCTTTCTAAAAAAAACATAATATAAAACTGTAATTAGAGGGGAGGCAAAGGGGGTAGCTGGTACGGTTTTACGGGAAATAAAAAGTTTTTTTTTACAATTTACAAGGAAAAAAAGACGTTTTTACAGTTTACAGTGTTAAAAAATGGAACATTGAATGGTCCGAAGAGCTCTCCGACTCAAATTCTCCGCCATTACTGCACCGTGTGTAGAGACGCATGCGCATATTACCCTCGTAGTGCTCTTCATTCGGTTAGAGGGCCTTTTACAGTTTGACATTCAATTTTGTAGTGAATTGTGTCATCTAGTCGTTTTACAGTTTTTAAAATGTAATTTCCCTGGATTATTTTTTACGATTTTTTTATTTGGATGTCAATTCTTGTACGTACCGAGAAAAATGACACATTTTTACAGTGTACGAAAAAAAATATTTGATTGATTACGTTGTACGTCTAGCCTGTGATTACAGAATTACGGAATTTATTTTTTCTATTTACGTTGTACGAACAAAAAAATATTGCAATTACGTTGAACGAAAATAACCCTTGCCCCCCCCCTACTCGTACTACAAACGTCACCATTATGCAAAAACGCCCTCCCACGACAGCTTTCCAAGTTAAAATGAAACATGTTTTTAGGGTGGTAGTCGTCGCGCCGCGTCCTGCTCATAGCGACGTACACAACGCGTGTGAAATACATTGTTTGTTTACATGAGTTTCAAACACGCGCTTCGCGACGACCCCGCCCTTTAAAATGACATACATATGCTCTCACCCTGATTCCGTTGGATATAGTTGTCGATACTCCACTGTATATGTCTTTGCATGGTCAAAAGTCATAGGATCAGTCCATTTAAGTTTGACACGGCGGAGTGATAGCACGGTTGCAATTACATCAGTTGGGGCGAGCAAATCTTGTTTCAAGTTGACATCGGCGGCAAAGCCTACATAAAATTAACGACACGACATATTATTCTGTATACATCGTGAGATTTATTATGCTGAATTGTGTCCATACTTTAAAATATGAAAAGGGAGACATTCAAGGCCAAAACATTATTTGATCAAAAGTACCTTTGTACAGATAAACAACATGAAGATAAATATCATTTTATCATGATATGTTCGTGTCAGTGACAAAGAAAATCACTATAAGAAGTATGTATAGCAAATATTGTATTTTCGACGAATGATAAATTTGTGTGTTTAATGAGAGTGTACCAAGCAACTGGAAATCATCTTGAATGTGTTTACTATTTCGGGAATGTTGTTACCCTAGTTTGAACAGTTTAGTTTGTTGTGTATTCATTTGAATTCTTCCAGGGAATATTGTGTATTCCAAAAGATAAAATGACTATGTGTATGACACGTGTAAGCCACAGGTTGAGCAGTATTCGTATTTAGGAAATCTGTGACGTCAATGGATCCTATATATCTAGTATTATCCGCATCAATACCAATCACCGAAGTCAGAGTTCGTTTACATCCATCTAGTCGCGAATCGAGGTTATCAAATAACACTCCATGTTTTCAGAATCTCTGGGATGCTATTTTATGAATATTGCCTTCTCGGCAACACAATGGCGTGTAAATTGCATTCACTCATACCAACTTTAGAGAAACATACAACCATGTTAGTCGAGTTTAATTATACTGCGGTTCAACTTTACCTACCATAGAAACACATGTGACGAAAGGTACTCACCTAAGCCAACCATACACATTATGACAAAACAGGTCGATAAGTTCTCCATGGCATTTGCAACGACACTGTTTCGATCTGAGCGATGAGCAAACTTGGAAGAAGTGTAAGCTTGGAAGGGCATTCAGTAAATCCTTATTTCAAAAAGAAACATAAGATGTTCACGAGATAGTAATTCAGTTTACTGATAAGACTTATTTGCACTATGACTTGAGGTCAAAGACCAACATTGTACAATCATATTCTTTTCTAATTAATTTTCGGAGGTCAGACATAAAAGGTACTATATTTTAGCAAGATTATTGACGTTAACAAACAATACGACGAATTTACCCGAATAATCTGACCATCACATCTGTTGTTTGAGCGGGGGTAGCTATTATTTTCAAATAAGTGTTGTTATTACATGACACTGTCGGATATTGTTTCAATGAGTCAAGAAGCGTAATGCTTGTCTTCTACAACTCACGTAATAACACCCGTTCTTTGGATTGAATTGTAAAGAGAATCTTGCACATCTGATCCCCTGCCAAAAGATACTTAGGCTGAGAACGAAGCTAGACTACAATAATACGGCCTGGCATCTCCACAGTGAATTTGAAAATCTTCGCCCTCACCGACAGACTCATTAGATTTAAGTACATCGGAGGGCGTACTGGCATATTTAGTAGCTTGCATTAATTAATTTGTGTAGAGTTTGCCACGAAACTTATCATATACTGTCACAGGAAACCTTTTTTAAATTTTCAATAGCCTGCTGCCATCACGTAATCAATGAAGATTCCATGCCGAAAGCCAATGAGATTCCGAGAACACTAAGGTCCATCTGTGGGCTGTCAGAAGTTGCTTATAAGATCACACTCTGGGATACGGTTTCAATTAAGATTATTATTATTATAACCAGCTCTAGGTTTCCTTTGAACCGGAAGATGGTGACATTTTTGGGATGTAAATAAAGATGGTCCATTCCCCTGACTTCTGATTCTTTACCCAAATTAAGTGATTTGTACACAAGTTGACTGTGAAACAAAAGTCAGCCCACGTACACTTCACTGTATTCCCTGGTTGATGCTTTCTCGACAAGTCACATTGATTACACAAGCCTCTTCTGTGGAAAAGCTTCAACTTAATTTGACCTTCGCCACAGTGTTGGTTGCTCATTTATAGTTGGCCATTTAAGGTAGAAGATGCACTTAATTGCTATGGCATAGAGAAATAAGCATGGTAATACCACATGAATCTTGAGTATAATCGGACTAAGCTTAGTTGGAAAGATTGAGTATAGACTCTGTGATGTTATTGTCCTAACTATTTGACAGTGCATCCCATGTGGAAGCTGTGTTATTGAGTGTTAAAGTGTCATGTACAATACTCTCTCGGTGTACAGTGATGTAGCAACTAAATTGATGCTTGGTTCGGGCCAGAAATCGAAGAGCCTCCTAGCCACCCACAGGGAATGCTTCCATTCAGTACCATTGAGACAGTGACTGAAATTGTATGTCGGTGATGAAGTTGTGAATCTTGATGGTCTTAAATTTGAGAATGAGCTTCAGGTCTTCACACCAGTTCACTGTCAAAGAATTGAAAAACAGTGACTTTGCTCCCTCTCTTCCTTGCAAGGTAGGTGTCAGTCAGGTTGTTGTCGCATCTCAGAAGAAATATTTTGATGATAGGAACACTGAAATGCTTCCTCCAATTTATGTATCTGGGAAACTGTCCAAAATTCCCTGCGTCTGTAATTGACCCATCACCTGTCAGTGAGGATTGACACTGATGGTTGAGCTGGAGTGAAGTGTAAGAGATGGCCCACCACAATTAAGAGCCTTCCTGTACTCAGTTAGCTTGTTTCTGGTTGGCTTCTAAAAATAGGAGCCTTCTGAAAGATATCTTTGTCTCGCTAAAGCAACAGTACAAGTCTGAGCCAAAATGTTGCATATATCGGCAACCCCCTCACCAATGTAGATAAGACCTCTGCACTCATTGCAGTGTTGCTGATGTTTGTGTGTGATACATGATAAAAAAGTACTTAAATAAAGAAAACTGACAGAGGTTGACATGGCCACCAGTCAGTCATTTTAAATGTGATTTGAAAAACAAAATGACAAAATCAAAACTCATTTATGTTCAATATGTACCAAGTTCTAACAAAATTTGTCCATGTACGACTGAGATCGGGTTCCTGGATTGCAGAAATGCATTGTTTTTGCATTTTCAGCATTAAAATGACCACCCTTTATTCATCTTGAAGCTGTGATATGTACCAGTATATACAATATCCAAATATGTATGAGATATGACATTGCAACAGCATCAGTCTTAACAAAATGGCGCCATGTCGGCCATTTTGAATTTGATCTGAAAAATAAAATGACATGTACAAAAGCCTAAATATTTTCGTTCCATGTTTGAACAAAATCCACTCATGCACGACCAAGACCTGGGTGCAGAATGGCAGAAACGCTTGATTTTCTGTAATCGACTGTATAAATAACACTTGTTACTTGTGTAAGCATTAGACCTCCCACAAATAACTTGGTTGGGATATTATACTGATTGATGAAAACTGCTTTATTATATTATAAGCACATGAATAGGACAATGCATCGATTATTGCATCATTTTTCAATGAACATTGGACTGCATAAAATTGGAAGGGAATGGCAACAAATATTCAGTAAAGAAACCACATCACAGTTAACCGTAAGAATACATGCACACCACATGATGTTGTTTCCATTATATATATATTTTATTAAAGTTTCAAAATCAGATTTGTTTATACATATTTTGTTATTGAAAAAATTGACTTGTTGTACTACATAGCTATAGCTTATTTGCATGACTGCCATATTTGGAAAACAAGAAAAAGAGATCAAGTATTCTATTGTCATTCAGCAATGCTATATTGCAAACTCCTATGATTCAATTTCTTTTTTTTATGCACAATTATTTACAATTTATAAAAAAAAAAAAATTATTATATAATGTCCTATCTTTGCAAGTTCAAGACAGACCGGTAAATCAATAAATTTAATAAAATGCCGGCAAGATAGCATATATAGCTCATTTACATTTTGCAAAATTTCACATAAAATCATGATTTGAGACCATTCATATTATTTTTGAAAATAGTATTTATCCTTTATGAAGTATTCAGTAACATTTTTTCATACATACTTCTATTTCAGAAAAAAAAAATCGATGAAAAAACGTCATGCTCTGCATTTTTGGGTTAACCAAGCACTGTCAACACAGCATACAATAAAATGTTCTACAATGTTCATGAATTGATTATAAGACTTTATAATCTCTATCTATCTCTATAATCTCTCTATCCTTGGTAGAATCTGTGAAGAAATCAAACAAAATATAAATAAAATATTACAAACATAATCATCAGAATTTTGAGCGAAAACTAGTTTGTATAAAACTTATTTGTAATTTGCATACCTCAGCCATGAATGGACGTTTCTTGCGTGTATGTTCAAGACATTTCAGTGCAATTAGATACAGTTCTGTTATTGACTCCTCATTCCAGTCATTCATATTTGAATCAACGATGCTAATAAAGTCTTCATCTGCATCACATTCATCTTCGACGTGCGAACATAAATCACAACTTTTTCGGCTTTCATCAAACACAGGTAACCCAGTCATTATTTCAAGAAGAACCTGAAATCAGAAACAGAGTTAAATACAGTTATAAAAATTCAAGTCAACTATTCGACAACAATCCAACAAGCATAAGTAATGTATCTTATTGAAATCAACCTTGGCATAAAAATGAGATTAGCCAAGAATTTTTTCTTATTTGCATAAATTAATATTCATGAGCAGTGAAAAAACATCTTTTGAGTCAGCTGGGGCAAAATACATTCCAAAATCCAATGATGTAGATCTAAAATGTCTGATTCTGTCAGTAAGTAGTCGAAAAAATTGTGAAATAGTGTTTTTTAAACAAGCAATGTCTCGGCTGAGATAGCTCCGCTGTTAGAAAAGCATATTTCAATTAAAGAACTGAAGATATCATTAGAAAATCTGAAAGAGGTCTATCTGAGGTACTTACATGTATAACATCAAAGTAATCGGATTTGCGGGTTTTAACAAGAAGTCAAAAATATAACTTTTTACCAAAAATAACAGAGAATTAGAGAATTGAAGATATCATACTGAAATGCACAAATCTGAGAGAAGTCTGCCCAAGGTACATATATACCAAGTATCAAAACAATAACAATTGTAGTTTTCAAGAGAAGTCAAATAAGTAAAAAGTTGACACAGACGACGACAGACAATCACTCATATGATAAGCTCCGCTCAACAAAGTCGACTACGGAGCTAAAAAGGGTTTTAATCACCAGAACGAAATGCTGATTGACTAAAAACATTTCATCCAGGTGTTAATCCCATCCATGCACAAGAGCATGTCATTCAAACCGTTTTGTGCTGAGAATACACTGTGAGCTGTGCTTGTAGTTTGAGATGGTGAGAAATAGATGTCATTTATCAGCATTAATCTTACCACTCCATAACTGTAAGTATCCTGTTTTGGCGTTATAGTACCGCTGAAGGCTTCTTTTGGCATATACGGAGAAGTGCCGAAAACTGTTGACGTTCTAGTTATGCTGTGGCCAATTTCAGGTCCAGGTCGAATTAATCCGAAGTCTCCTACCTTGGCTACAAAGTTCTCATCTAACAAAACATTTGCACTGCAATGAAAGAAAAATAATGTTAATCAAAGAAAACTTAGAAAGAACTCCCGTGTGCTTAGAGTATTGAAGACACAATACAAATTAATTCAAAATTACTTGTACCTGAGATATTGATGGAAAAGCTGAAAACTAATTAATATGTAAAATTATGAATTCTTATGATGATTAGAGAATTAATTTGAACTAATTTTAACCCAAAATTAATCAATAAAAATTAATTAATAAGCATAAATATTTACCAAAAACTAATTGGGTCTCTGCATAGTTCTAGATTCATTGAAATGTGATGATGAGTACTCTTTAAACGTTTAATTAAAATCCAATTTGTGGTTCTTTATATATCAGTGGAACATTCATGAACAAAAATTAACTAATTATGCAAATTAGGTAATTAATATCCACAATTATTTACCCTAAAACTAATCAGGTCTCTGCATAGTCCCAGAATATCTTTGTAGCATGTTTCATTGAAATATGATGATTAGTACGTGAGATATCGAGCAAAAAGCTGAAAATTAACTAAGTATGCTAATAAGGTAATTAATATGCACAAATATTTACCCAAAAACTAATCAGGGGTCTGCACAATCCTTAAGTAACTATGTACCAAGTTTCATTGAAATGTGATAATTACTACTTGAAATATCAAAAGCTGAAAACTAATTAATTATGCAAATTAGGTAATTAATATCTATAGATATTAACCTAAAAACTATCAGGTCTGTGCAGTGTCCTATGATATCTATGTATCAACTTTCATTGAAATGTTATGATTACTACTTGAAATATCAAAAGCTGAAAATTAATTAATTATGCAAATTAGGTAATTAAAATGTACTGATATTACCCTAAAAACTATCAGGTTTGTGCAGTGTCCTATGACATCTATGTACCAAGTTTTATTGAAATGTGATGATTAGTACTTGAGATATCAGTGGAAAAGCCGAAAATTGATTAATCATTATGCAAATTAGGTAATTAGTATTGCACAAATTTTTACCCAAAACTAATCAAATCTACGCATTAGTATGGAGCATCTATGTGCTAAGTTTCATCAAAATCCAATGAGTGGTTTTTCAGATAACAGTGGAACAGTCATAGAACAGCTAAAAATCAGCTAATTATCATGCAAATTAGGTAATTAATATGCATGGCTTTTTACCAAAACTTAATCAAATCTGCGCATTGGCCCAGAGCATCTATGCACCAAGTTTCATCAAAAATCAATGTATGGTTCTTGAGATATCAGTGGAACACACACACACGCACGCACGCACACACGCACACACACACATACAGACACACTAACGTCAAAGACTCCCATTGTGTGCTTTGCACAAGGGAGTCAAAAATGCGATTTCAATTCATATACATAGACTTGTTATCATCTAAGTGTGACGTTACGCTGTGGTGATATGCATTTCATAATTTCCATATCAATTTATGTGTACATGTGATATGGTCCTGGACTACTTTTTAAACTTACACGATCATGTTTAGCGCTACTCTAAGCAAGTTGAAAATGTTTTGAAATGTACACAACAAAAAAGATGCATGTAGCAGGTACATGTAAAACAATTGTCATAGTTACATTGATGTTATGTTTTGTGTATATCTGTACGACAGGAAATTTTCCATTGGTTACCCCGGTGAACAATTGTTTGTACAACTCTCTTGGTTTCCTTGAACAGAAATAATGAAACTTAAATTGCACACAAACCGGAGTAAAAGATGCTATATCAATTTGACATAAAAAAAGGTTATTTTGTTAAAGCTTAAAACAGTTTACATAAGAAGCTTATATTCTTGAAGCAAACAGACATGCAGTACACAGTTGTTGCTGGTGGTGTTGGTGCATGGAAATGTGATTTGCTTGATGTATTACAATACCTTGTAAACAAGTCATGATGTGTCACAATCCCCATCATTTTTTAATAAAAAGGTATATTTAAGTGAATGTTAACATATTTGTACATTGTACATGCATGCTATGTTTCTAAATGTATTACATTTCAATTGCTCAGGAAAATCAGTTTTTATGCAACAGATCTTAACCAAATCCATCAAATAATACCTGAAATATAGTTCCACAAGGTCTTGATATTGTATTGCATTATTAATAGAAACTTATACAACATGCATGATGCAAACTGAATTCACACTTCTATTACAGAGAGGATACATTTTGGCTATTTTTACTCAAATCATGACACAAATGAATGTACATATGGCTTGTATGATATCTGAGTATGTTTGAAGCTTGATTGGTCCAGATGTGTCAGAAATATGAATTCAAAACTGCTTTCTTTAATACAAAATGATCACCAACTGGCCATTTTAAGTCTGATCCAAAAAATAAAATGACAAGCATCAAGATTTCATGGTGTTCATCGTATGTAAGTTTAAATTAAATCCGTCTGGCAATCTTGAGATGGATCATGACACAAAGGCATGTGCATATGTTGGATAATGTTTAATGTTGAACTATATTGGTTTTGGCATGTCGGAAATATGAATCCAGAACTGCATTTTTGTTAGTACATTTTAAAACCTGATTCTGATTTGAATTCTCATTGTGTACATGAATATACAAAGTTTAAACCAGAATAGAGAAAATGCGAGATTTTAATGCATTTTTGGTCTTAAAATTGCTGTATTCAACCATCAGATCATGAAACAAATACATGGGTCTATGTTCTGATGTATGTTAAAGCTTGCACTTGATTGGTCTAAGTATTTGTGAAATATGGTTTAATAAGGATGGACACACAGACAAATGCACACACATTCATACAGAGGTCAATCCATAAGTTCCTGTTTTGGACTGCATCCGAACAGGAACTAATAAATAAATCCGGTTGAAATGCAAAATCCTGGGGTAGCACATTTCCACATATTAATATAATAATTCTCTGTCATATATGGTTCGTCCTTAGTTACAAAACCATGAGATTCTAGACAGTGGATACATATGATATCTAGAACCATATTAAGTATAATTATCTCTCAATACTAATTACAATCTTAACTTGATTAGTGTGAATATGGTGTACTTAAAATCAAATGAAAAATCAATGTTTCAAGTTGATATTTTTGTAGCTCATTGCTACAAAGTAAACTTAATTACGTGAATTAAGTAACGTGTCAAAATAAAG